TATCCTCCCTAGTCATTGTCCAACTCTCTGATGCATAACAAGTGATTGCAAAGACCATGGCCTGTATCAGATGCACCTTAGTCTCCAGAGACACACCGTTGATCATATATATAGTATATATAGTCTGTGTGTGTATATATAGTGTTTATAGTGTGCATATAGTATATATATAGTGTGTATATGGTGTGTATAAAGTATATATATAGTGTATATATATATAGTGTATGTATATAGAATGTATGTATGTGGAGTGTATGTATATGGAGTAGAGAGAGAGATGAGAGAGAGAGAGAGAGAGAGAGATGACAGCATATAACTGATCTATAGGATTTTCTAGACTAATCTTTATGTGAACAGATTGTCAGATACTTCTCCTACAGAGCTGCTAGGTAAACACATCAGCCTTTCAGTTAGCAGACAAGTAGTGCCTAACATTTTGTGCCACCATGAACCCAAGACTCAGCACTTTGTTGTTGTTGTTGTTGTTGTGTGCCATCAATTCAGCTACTCTAAGAAAAACAAATACGAAACTTATCCTGTCCTGTGCCATTTCCAGCATCTCTGCTACACCCAAGTCCAAAGTTGTAGTCCCGCCCCTGTGTCGATCCATCTCCTTGGAGGTCTTCCTCTCTTTCTCTAACTCTACCTTTCCTAGCATGATTTCTTTCCCCAAGGACTGGTCCCTCCTCACAACACACCCAAAGTATGTGAGATGAAGTTTCATCGTGCATGCTCAAATCCAGCACTAGAATGTTTTGCAATAAACATCTTCTCCTGAATACCTACCAGGATAATGACGGCCACTGGCCCCATGAAGCTCCAGATAAAGCCTTTGCCAAGGTTCAGCCAACAACTGTTGAGAAAGAATGAAAAGCATTACACGCTAATTCCTGTGTACAAGTCGATCAGTTACCAAATGTCTTTAGTTGATTCCATCTTGCTTCAGATACCTAACAGTCTAGGTTCAAATCCTTGATTCTGTTCTTTTCCCTAGTAATGCAAGTTGCCCAAATTTTGGTGTTTCAGTTGGATATACTGAGCTGCTCTTGTTAGTAATATAGTAATGTGCCTTAATGATACGAAGAGTATTTTGGTAGCATAGTGGGTAAGGAGTTGTTCTGCCAGTTCAAAGGCCGATGGTTTGAATCTACCAGCTGCTCCTCAAGAGTAAAATAAACAGTCTCTTGTCATGCAATTTATAGGCTCTGAAAACCCATTGGAGGGTCAGCTATGAAACAGTTCCCACTTGATGGCAATGAATAATGAGTTATTGATATGAAAGCTGTCGTCATTGTTAAGTGTTGTCAGATTGTCTTTGATTCATAACGACTTCATATATAACAGAATGAAATGTTGCCTAGTCCTGCTTCATTCTCAAAACCTGTGCTATGTTTGAGCCCATTATTTCATCCAGTAACTCAATCCATGACTTTGAGTGTCTAGCTTAGTGGTAAGAAAATTGCATTGCCAACCGAAAGGTTGATGGATTCGAACCCACCAGCCTGCTCTGCAGGAGGCAAATGTGCATTCTACTCCCTTTCACTTTACTGCCTCTAAAAACCTGCTGAGGGTTGGCTACGGGCCAGTTCTGATTTGAGGGTCCACAACAACACCTGCTTTATCAAGCATGTTGTCTCCTACCCCAAGGATTGCTTCTTCTTGATAATCTGTCCAAAGTATGTGAGATAAAGTCTCGCTATCCTTGCTTTTGAAAAATATTCTGGCTATAATTTTTCTAGAATTGATTTTTCACTTGTTCTTCTAGAATTCCAGAGTATATTCAGTATTCTTTACCAACACCACAATTGAAAAACAAAGATGTCCCTTTTATGAAAAAGGTGTGCTCAACAGGAATTATGGTTTTTTCAACCACCTTGCATGTATGCAAAAGCTAACAGATGTAAAGGCTTTGAATAATAAGAATTCACATTCAATATCATTATTTTATGCACTTCAGTATCATATATTTTTTAATATAAATATCTGAAGGCCAAGAACATTGAATGTTTCAACTGCCTCTTTCTTCTGCACTGTGCAATATTCAGATACCAGCTTTCATTTTCTCTGCTATCTGTTGATACTTTCTCCATATGTTCAAACAATCCTATCACTGTCACCACCACAACATAGTCTGAATCAAGGATGCATTAATACTCAAACTAATATCATTGCACCTCAGAAATTTAAAGAGGTCCCTGACTGCAGTGAAATACATCTCCTGATTACCTGACTCTCCTAATACCTTCAGGAGAAAGTAGAGTACTTAGATTAAGGGTCTCTTAGCAGGATATGAGTAATGCCAGGGCCCATTAATTCAGGATCTGAATTATTAGATTAAGTCAGAAGTGGGTTTTAGTAGGCCTCCTCTGACCCTCTGTTTCTTTGAAAGTAAACTAGGGCCAACAGAATTCTTGCAAAGATTGAGTAATTCAATGTGATATCCCTCACTTTCATTGCCTAATTTGTCAAGCTTTTCCTCCTAAGCTGTCTTAGTCTGGAAGCTTTGCTCAAGTCTTTCCACTGTGGATAAACCTGTTGTTATTTGAAATACTGGTGCCATAGTGTCTAGCATGTCAGCAGTACGCAAGGCAAGTCAGTTCAACAGAATGGTAGCCAGGTATTAGTGGAACTTCCTTAGAGAGGCAGTAAGACATGACTATTGAGAGCACTACCTTGGAAACGTCAACTTCCTCTCTTTTAATTTGTGTCTTTGGGGAAGTTTGCTAAATGGAGTGAATTCTGTACCAATGTCATATTATCATGCTGTGGAAAGAATGTTTGGTAGTTTGATTCCATAAAAATTATCATTGTTGGGTAACATGGAATTGATTTGACTCATTGCAACCCCAGGAGAAGGAGTACCACAGCTCCACAGTGTTTTCTAGGTTATAAACTTTGTTGAAAAAAAAAATCTCCAGGTCTACCTCCAGCAGAGTCATTGAGTGAGTTCAAACAACCAGTGGTTAACACAAGTGGTTAACCATGGCACCAACCAGGCTTCTTTCTATAAAGACTGGAGTCAAGAAAATTCTATAGAGCAGTTATACTCTGAACACGTGGGGTCACTATGAGTAAGCGTGTCTTGCTTCAGTGGGTCTGGTTTTGGTTCATTACTATGACCACCACTCCCAAAGACAAAAGCATGCATCATGCTTACTGATTATATGTTCCATAATTTTTGTGTCCAACGCCTGCAGACACAGCCACAATGACTGCTGGGATCCCGTAGCCAAAAGGGAACATGAACCTCTTCTTGAATCTCGCTGCGCTGGTGTAATTGGCCACCTTGAGGTTCCTGATGGTGAGGAACAGGTGCAGCCCTTCCAGGAACATCCAGGTGAAGGAGGCCAGGTAGAGGTAGTGCAGCACACCTGCGATGATGGAGCACAGCACCTGGAGGGGGAGAAAGGATGAGTTAGATACTAAGGGTTCAGCTTCTCAGCAAAAGTTTGAAGATTTAAGTCAACCCATAAGTACTTTGGAAGAAAGATCTGATGATCTGATTCTAAAAACCCAAGCACTGAAAATCCTGGGGTCACTACACGTTATATTCAACTCAACACAAGTTGACCACAATTGGTCTTATTTGGGGGTATTGAATTTCAATTGTCAACACTTGTGATATTTTTGCAGAGGAACACAATTCTGAGGGCTTTTATGGCCTCTGAAGTCTACTCACTGCATGTACTGAGTAGATCATATAACCAAGGATAAATGTTCCAGCCCAAATGCTATCTGGACAGAAGTTTGTACAAAAATATCCCAAGAATCTATGGTTAAGCACGCAACTACTACTACTACCCAAAAGCTTTCTGGTTCAGACCCACCTAGAGGCCCATGGGAAGAAAGGCTGGTGACCTGTTTCCAAAAGTTACAGGCATGTGACCCCTATGAGACAGTTCTCAGCACACACGAGGTTAAGATGAGTTAGCATCTCATTTGGAATTGTTTACTCTGATCTTGGCACTAGGCTGCTAACCTAGCATTGGCTGTTTGAAGTTCACAGAGAATCTCACCAGAAGAAAGTACTGATGATTAACTTTCATGTAATCACAGGCACGAAAACCTCACAGAGCAGTTGTACTCTGAAATACAGGAGGTTCCCATATGTTTAAACGAACTTGATGGCAACTTGTTTGGTTTCATTGCACCAAGACACTGCCGTTCGGCAGCTTGTTTGTTACAGCAGCTAATGTTACTCTATCTAACACCGTCAGTGTCTCACTCACATTATAGGTCTCAGAATATCTGAGTCTTGTTCAAAGTTTAAGAGGAGTAGAGCTAAAATGAGGACCTCCTGCTTCCCCCTACACACCCTCACCTCTGATTACAGTTTATCGCTCTGGTTTTTTCTCTGGACAAGATGGAGAGATATTTTAATAACACGAAGGAACTTTGGTTGAAAAACAAGTCTTACCTTGTTCTCAGTTTTGTCAATCCCCACGAGGAAGAGCAGGTGGGCCAGGAAGAGGCAGATGGAGAGCTGCAGGTGCAGCGAGGTGCTGGTGTTCTGGATGGGCCGGCACAGCAGGAAGGTGAGGGCCGCCAGGAGGAGGCACAGCAGGGAGAGGCTCAGCCCCACATGGGTGATAATGGTCAGTGTTGGATCTGCCTAGGAATCACAAAGGGAGGAATCTGTTATATTTTTTTTTAACTAAGCAAATATGCTGTTAGGGACCTCTCCAAAGTACTGAAGAGCAATGGTGTGTCTCTGGAGACTAAGGTGCATCTGATATAGGCTATGGTCTTCGCAATCACTTGTTATGCATCAGAGAGTTGGACAATGACCAAGGAGGATAGAAGGAGAATTGATGCCTTTGAGCTGTGGTGCTGGAGAAGAGTATTGAGAATACCATGGATGGCTAGGAAAACAAACAGATTTGTCCTGGAAAGGGTTAAACCAGGTGGCTCCTTGGAGGCAAGGATTCTGAGGCTCCGTCTAAGATACTTTGGACATGTTGTGAGGAGAGACCGGTCCTTGGAGAGGGACATCGTGCTCGGGAGGGTGGAGGGACAGCACAAGAGAGGAAGGCCCTCTATGAGGTGGATTGATTCAGTGACTGGGATAACCGGGATGGGCGTGTCAGAGACAGTGTGATTGGCACAGGACAGAGCAGAGTTTAGGGCTGTTGTACGTAGGGTCACTATGAGTCACAGGCGACTCGACGGCACATAACAACAACAAGCAATTAAGGCACTAATGGTGAGGGTGAGTTAGATGACATTTCAAACACAAGGATAGCTAAAGCAAGTTCCTTAACCTTTCTGAGACTGTTCTGCCAACTTCAAAGTGAAGGCTATTAGGGGTGTCACAATGGTTAAAGCCTTGACTGGTAATCATAAAGATCAGTGGTTTGCAAATCCGTGGATCAGTAAATCCACAGACAAAGATCTGGTGAACTGTCACCAAATTTTACAACCTGAAGAGCACTTTCTATGCTGCCACAGGGGTCACTTGTATTAATATTGTTGTTGTGTACTGTGGGGTCAGAACCGACCCATATCTGACCCTCTAGTAGGTTTTCAGAGGCAATAACACATGGAAGGAGAATATCCATCCTTCTCCCCTAGAGAAGCTGATAGCTTTAAACCACATACATTGGGATTATAGTGCAGCTTTTTTGTCACTAAGCCACTAGAGTTCCCTACTGAGGTCACTAAAAGTCAGGATCAAGTTCCCTGAGCTCCCTGTTATTGTTGTTGTGTACCACAGAGTCAGAACCGACCGGCAGCTGACGCTCCAGTGGGTTTCCAATGGCAGTAAATTGCAAGGTAGGAGATGGCCCATCCTTCCCCTATAGAGTAGCTGGTAGATTTGAACTGCATGCCTTTGGGATTTGAATTGCAGCTACTATTAGGCCGCCAAAGGTCCCTATTTGGGAGATTCAAATCATGACAGCAATGAGATCCCCTCTCACCCCAATTGTTGTTATGTGCTGTTGAGTCACCTGCGACGACTCATAGTGAGGATATATATATTTATAGAGAGAGAGAGAGAGCCCTAAACCCTGCTCTATCCTCTGCCATTGTTTCTGACACCTACTCCCATTACTCCAGTCACTGAATAAATCCATCTCCACTGAATAAATCCATCTCATCCAGGGTCTTCGTTTCTTGCGCTGTCCCTCCACCCTCCCAAGCACGATGTCCCTCTCCAAGGACTGGTCCCTCCTTGCAACATGTCCAAAGTATATCAGATGAAGCTTCAGAATCCTTGCCTCCAAAGAATAGTCTGGCCTCACTCTCTCTAGGATGAAACTATTTGTTCTCCTAGCAGTTCATGGTATATATTCAATATTCTTCTCTAGCATCACAGCTCAAAGGCATCGATTCTTCTTCCATCGTCCCTAGTCATTGTCCAGCTCTCTGATGCATAGCATGCAATTGCAAAGACTACATTATATATCAGATCTACAGGACACAACATCCTCTGCTGGGAAACATTCCATTGTGACTACTACAATGTACTACAAGTGAAAGAGAAGCAGCCCTTAGCCATAAGAAGTCAATTCTAGAGCAGAAGTTCAAGGCAAAGGACTTTTCCTCAGAACCATCTGAGATAGGAAGCCTTTCCCAGTACTAGGACCAGGTAGTTGGACTTAGAGACTCATAACTCAAGAGATACTGGCTGCAGCAGAAAAAACTGGAAGCAGCTTGAGGTGTTTAGAATCACAGGAGCCCTAAATGCTTGAGATATAAGCCAACACATCAAGAGCTGCATAGGGGGAGATAGGTGTTGAATGGCGGATGTGGGAGTAGAAGAGAATGCTGATGGAGCAGGGAAAGGGGTGGGTCAAGATACAGGTGTCAAGGGCAGGAACAAAACTGAATCTATTGGTTATTTCTGTAATTGAGAAATGTCTTTGGTCTGCTCACCCCAGCAACAAAGTTTAATAAGACATCAGCAAATGCAGGTGAGGAGTGAAGACACTGAAACTCCCTCATACACTGCTGGTGAGATTGTAAAATAGTGCAACCTCTGTGGAAGACAGTATGGTATTTCCATAAAAAGTTACATATAGAAAGACCATTTTATCTAGCAATCCCATGGTCAAATATAGCTCTTAACTCATTGCCATTGAGTCAGAACTGGCTCATAGCTGACCCTCTGGTGTGTTTTTGGGGAAGAGAGTTCATGTGTATTCCCAAGAGTGAGTGGTGAACTTGAACCACCGGAGAGACCCTGCCTGTGGGTTAGCAGCACCATGCCCTACACAGCACGTTGCTAGAGCTCCTATACAGTATATATCCTAAAGGAATAAGAGCTGAGACATGAACAGAGACAGGCATTATTTTAGCATGAAGTACAACATCAAAGAGATGGAATCAATCTAAGTGCCCATTATTGGATGAATGGCTGATCAAACTGTGGAACATACACATAATGGAATACTATATATTGTTAAAATACATCTTGAATAAATCAAGAAACAACATATAACAAAGATTAATATATAGGACATTATGCTGACTGAAATAAGGCAGTCACAAAAAGATAAATATGGAATGAGTCTATTAATATTTAAAAAACCCTGAGGAAAGGTTTATATAAAACAACAAACATGCTAAATGAGTTTCATTTGCACCAATATAAAATAAAAATAATGTGGACAAAAATTAACATTCTTTGATGGTTACCAGGCATGAGAGGGAAGAGGAAAGGGAGGACAAATCAGCAACTAGATAAAAAAAAATACACATATTCACCCCTACCTATCCTCACCCCTCCACTCCAACCCCTCCCCCTTGGGTTCCCATACATGTTTTACTTGTTATCCTACTATTTTTAGAGTAATGGTCTTATGCAATATTTGTCCTTATGAGTCTGAGTTAGTTCATTCAGCATAATGCTTTCCAGTCTCTCCTAAGTTATATAGTATTCTTTGAAATTGTAAACAAATCCATTTAAGAGACAAAAACAAATTACAAAAAGGGCAAAGTTTCTGTTAATATTGCTTGAATATCTAGGAAAAGGATGGTGATGATAGCTGCACAAAATGAAAGTTGGCAACACCACTATATTCTACATGTAGATAGTATTTTGATGTCTATATTTACATCACAATAAAAAATATCAGTTCAATATGTAATAAAAATAAAATTAATTTCATAAAATGAGACCATAAATGGAAAGCATCCAACCCTATTGTGGTGGTCACTGAGTAAATGAAGGCTAACAAGAAATAGAGGATGAAGTAAATTTGAAATTTGAATATCCTAGATGAGGGTGGAACTCTTAACGTTCAGAGAGTATCCTCTGTCATTGATTCCAGCAAATGATCTTCCATATGGTCTAACCAGGAAGGCTAATATGTCTTACAGAATAAGGATGCTTTCCGTTTCAGAGACACTTGAAATTGACCTTTGTAGGGCTTGCCAGTCCAACTTCCCCAAACCAAAAATGCTATTTCTATTAGCTGATGTTCATGAAGATGTCTGAGAATTAGCACCCCTGGACTCACTTCTCAAATGAACAATCTGCACTTGGGTCTTTATGTTAGACTTGGAAAGAATGACTTCACAATTTGCTGAGCATTGCCAGTTTACAGGAGAGGACTATGAATCTTGGTACCTGGGGTGTTAGAGCCATGAGGACAGCAAAGCTGGACAGATGAAAGCACTGGCATTTGGTGTAAAGGTTGTTGCTGTCCAGATAAGAGCAGCCCTTTGTAGACCAGCTGCTCCCCTCCTCTGATTCTTCCCAGGAAACACATAAATATTTTGCTCTTGGTTCAGGAGGCTGGAACAAGAATAGTAGAAAAGTTATTATCTTTCTGGTTTATTATTTGAGTTTTATGGATTAATCGTAGGTGTACTGAGGTGGAGCCTGGGTTAGGGAAGTCTCACTATCTTGAGTACTTATGAAGAAGTTTCACATCCTCTGTTAGCTTGTTTTTCACTATTACTGCCCTTCTCTATTCATCTCATTTCCCTGGAGAGTGGCCCTTATGAACTCTTTCCTTGTTGCAGGTTCTTTGTTGGCTGGTTGGCTTCTCCCAAAGATAGATCCTGATGGGAAATCATTAGAGAAAAGGAGAAAGAAGCCAAGTATTTGTTTCCACCTGTCTATATAGTACCTCTTCTTGAGGAAGATACTCAGTGAGATCCATTTACCCAGTGACTATCTCAATGGTCTTTAGCATGACAGAGCTCATGAGGACGGTGCCAGACAGGCAAAGATCTGTTGGTCATAGCATCACAATGAGTCATAATCAACTTGGCTGGACCTCACAACAGTTGTATTCCCTATGTGTTTGTCACATAGTGGTGACTTGTATGTTGCTGTGACGCTGGAAGCTATGCACTTGCATCTCAAAAACCAGCAGGATCATTCATGATGAACAGTTTGAAATGGTCTTTCCAGGTTAAGAAGTGACAAATGAAAAGGTCTTCTAATCTGCTTCGAGCATTGTACTTAGTTGCCATTAAAATAACCTCATGTGCAACAGAGCAAAGTATTGCTAAGCTCTATGCAAGATGGCATGAGATAGGACAGGATTCAGATCTGTTGTTTATGAGGGGACAGCATGAACCCAATTTTTAAAAATTTTATTGTTTTTGTGTGAGTGTACTGTCAAATCAGATCTGACTGCTACAGGAGGAGATTCTCCCTCCTTCCTCGGCAGAGCATCTGGTGGATTCGAACTGTGCGCCTCTGGGATTGTGGTTGCAGCTCCTTACCACTAGGCCGCAGGGCTCCCCCAAAACCCCATTTTTAATCCCAGAAGCAGAAGCAGGCCATAAAAATTCTTAGCTTAAAGCAAACACAAATGCGCGGAGTGAAGTCTTATCTGTCCTTGCAAAGTAAAGAATTAACTAGTGTCTACATGACACAAAAAGAGTAAAGGTGGGCAAAGTAACCAGCCCATCAAAAGCAGGTCCACATGACTGATCCCCCAGCCCACCAACCATGCTCACAATCTCCCCGCCCCAACAGAAGCACCCGGGAAGGCCTTAAAAACAATTGCACGGGGGGGACTAGGGGCTTTCCCCCTCGCCACCTTCCTACTAAGGGAAAGAGTCTCCACATGTGGAAAATTATTCTGTGGAATAAAGCGCTTTTGTATTTGCATGTGTGAATTATTCTTTTGGGAGGCATTTCGTGGGCAGAACAGTTTATAGTGTGACAATGAGTTATACTCAACTCAACAGCACCTAACAGCAACAACAATATGTTATCCTCATGATCTTCAAAATATTTGGTGTTATATTTGTAGATACTATGCCAATCTATCTAGTCATCAGTTTTTCTTAGACAAAGAAAACATGTTGTTGTTCTTGTTAAGTGCTGTCAAGTTGAGCATAACTCATAGACACCCTATGAATAAAAGGCCTGAATCTTGTTCTAAAACTATCATCTTTTCTCTACGTTCATAGTTTCCAGAGTCATATTGCTTAGGAAGTGGATGCCACCCCTGTTTCCAAGACTGTCTCAATCTGGTAGCTCCACCAAACACTGTCCACCGTGTGGCACAGTGTTTAGCATCACAGCAACCCCAAGTTACCTCAGTACAGCAAATTGACAAACCAGTGCTTTACCACTTGGAAGAATGTTCATCCCAAATACAATTAACACCAGGCCTGGGAGTCCAACTGATTTTTAAATACAAAGGCCCACCCTCCTGGTTAACTCTAAACAAGAGACTTCCAGTCCACAGCTCATTGTTAGCTAAATCCAGCAAGTCCAATCAGCTCACACATGACTGTGAATGAAAAAACTAACAACCAAACAGTTCACAACTGACCCTGAACCAAAACAGAAGAACCCGAAGACCAGAAGACCAATCATATCTGATATGTGGAAGGCCAACAAAGAAGAAGGAAACCCTGACATGATGGTCATAAGGAAATCAGACATACTAATGATCTACTGCCTACAATATTTTCCATGATAGCTCTGTGAAACACAGTTCTACCTTGGTACTCCATGGAGGGTCACCATGCCTCATAGTGGATACGTGGCAACTGGTATTGGTTTGCTTCTTTTTAAATACTCAGCCTTGGTTTGTTTGCTTTGGTATTTGGTTTCTTTAACCCAGTCCTTGATATTGCTTACCTGAATATGTTTCAAGGTCAAGGATATAGGTTTAGTTAGGTAAGTTTTGTTCTTCGAACCAATGGTGCCACTCACAACATGAGAATTCAGTTTTACTTCCTTAAATCTTTTTCTGCCATTAAAAAAGCTTCCATTGATAACATCTTCAAGGTTTTGATAGACTATCAATGCAACAGCACTCTGATCTGTGGTCAAAGAAGAGAAACCATTTTATGAGGTAGTTCACTATAGTCTTCTGTGAGAATTAATGTAATTTAGTAAAAACTGTTCTTCGAAAACTCCTTCAACTGCATGAAACATAGAATATGTGGTTTGGGGCACAGCATTTTGTATTATATAATTGATATTATGGTGCACTGAATATCATTATATATATATATATGTAAAACAGGCTAATCAATAAGCTGTGAAACTATCTAGGATTCCTTCTATCAAGTCAGCCACAAGGCAAGACATTTGTTCTGAGAGAAACGTTCTTGTTTACTGCTGAGTCGGAACTGATCCCTAGCTGACCCTCTGGTGGGTTTTCAGAGGCAGTAATCACATGGGAGGAGACTGCTCCTCCTTCTCCCACGGAGTAGCTGGTGGATTTGAACATAGTGCCTTAGAAATTACAGTGCAGCTTCTTACTACTAGGCCACTGGAGTTCACTCAGAGGAGCTGGTGGACTTCAAATGGGATAAAGAAACCACATTTTCTCATTTTCTACCTCAAGTTTACTCAGGGGAACTATATAGTGAAAGAGGGGGGCCATCTCATTTATTTTTCAGTCTGTCTCCCCTACTCTTACTCTGTTATCTCCTTCTTTCTACCTTACTATCTATCTTCCTTCCATCTCTTCTTCCTTTCTTCTTTTCTTCCTTCCTTCCTTCCTTCCTTCCCTTCCCTTCCCTTCCCTTCCCTTCCCTTCCCTTCCCTTCCCTTTCCTTTCTCTCCTTTCTTCCTTCTATTCATATTCTCTCTTTCCTTTTCTTGAAAGTATAGTTTATTCATAGAAACTAAGTATACCCTGATGTAGTGTATCAAAACTCTAGTTATTCATATGCCAGAATCTCACTTTCATTATCATTTATTAATTTTAAACTTTATGCAGTCTAGATTGTTTCCTCTCTAATTTCATTCTCACAGTTCAGTTAGGAGCAGAAGCTGAGAATTTTCTGGAAGAAATTACAAGAATACAAGTATTTCAAGTCTTTCTCTCTGTACAGTAACTGTAGACCTAGAGTCCCTTGTTGCAGCCACTGTGCCAATACTTCTCACTGAGGGTCTTCTCTGTTGCTGACCCTTTACTTGACTAAGCCTGATATCCATCTCCTGGGACTATCTCCTCCTGATAACATGCTCAAAGCATGTAAAATGAAGTCTCTCTAATCTTGGGCTTACTAAGAGCATTCTGGTTGCGCTTTTCCAAGACAAATTTGTTCTGTTGGAAGTTTGAGCTGCGTTCCCTATTCTTTGTCAATGACGCAATTCAATGTCATCAACTGTCCTTTGCTATTTGCTAATCATTGTTCAGCTTTCACAAACGTGAGAGTATTGAAAGTAGCATAAAGTTACATTGACCTCAAAGAGTTATCTCTTTTTAGTACTTTAAAGAGGTCTTTTGTAACATTTGTGCTCACTTAAATAATTTTATTTCTTGGTTCCTTTTACAGGCATTGATTGTAGATCCAAGTAAAATGGAATCCTTGGCAAGTTCACACTTTTTCTCATTTATCATGATGCTTCTGATTGTTCTCAGTGTGGAGATTCCCCCACACACACACTTAATATTATTATAATCCATACTGAAGGCCAGATATAATCGTTGACCTTTATCAGTAAGTACTTCAAGTCTTCAGTTTCATCAAGGAATATCCTCTACTCACCGCAAGTTGCACAGAACTCTTCCTCTGATCCTAAGACTCTTTGTTGTTGTTGTTTTGTGCTGTCGAGTCGCCTGCAACTCATAGCGACCCTACGTACAACAGCCCTAAACTCCGCTCTGTCCTGTGCCAATCGCACTGTCTCTGACACTCCCATCCCAATTCCTAAGACTCTAGTTGTTGTTATTGTTGTTGAGTACCAAAGAGTCAGAACCAACTCATAGCTGACCCTCCAGCGGGTTTTCAGAAGCAGATTTCATGGGAGGAGACTGCCCATCCTCCTCCCATGGAGCATCTGGTAGCCTCATATTGTATGCCTTCAGGATTGCAGCACAGCTTCTTGCCAGCAAGCCACCGGAGCTAGGGAAAGGTTAATTCTCTCTGTTGGTTGTCGGGAGTGTGTGTGGGGTGGGAATCCTTATCTTAGTGGATCTATTGTTTCTTTGTTCATTGCAGTCTCCTGGAGTGTGGCATCTCTCGTCTCATATGCTTGTCTTCTCTTTTAAACCTCAAAATATAATGACTTAAGAGTTGTTGAACAGAGCAGGGAAACACTTCATGGTTCAGGATCAGAAAAGGTGTATGTCAGGGATGCATCCTATCTCTATACCTTTTTAATCTATATGAAGAACATATCATTTGAGAAGCTGAGCTTTATGAGGAGGACTGTGGCATTAAGATTGGAGGAAGATTCATCAACAACTTGTATTATGTAGATGAAACATTCTTTCTTGCTGAAACTGAAAAGGACATGAAGCACTTGCTGCAGAAGGTCAAGGACTGTCTTCAATATGGATTGAAACTTAACATCAAGAAAACAAATATTCTCTCCACTGGACCTATTGGCAGCTTCATGATGAATGGAGAAGAGACTGAGGTCATTGATAACTTCAGCTTGCTTGGTTCCACAATCAACACTTTAGGCACCAGCAGTCAAGAAATCAAAAAACAAATCAAAGTGGGAAAGTCTGCTATCAGGGACCTCTCTAGAGTACTGAAGAGCAACAATGTTAGTCTGGAGACTAAGGTACGCCTTATCCAGGCCATGGTCTTCACAATTACTTGCTTTGCATCAGAGAACTAGACAACAACTAAGGATGATAGAAGAAAGATTCATGCCTTTGAGTTGTGATATTGGAGAAGATGATCGAACATACCTTGGACTGCCAGGAGAACAAACAGATTTGTCCTGGAGAAGGTGAAATCAGTTTGTTCCCTGGAGGCAAGGATTTTGAGGGTTCATCTCACATACTTTGGGTACATGGCCAGGAAGGACAAGTCCTTGGAGGGGACATCATGCTTGGAAGGGTGGAGGGACAGTGATGGAGAAGACCCCGGATGAGATAGATTGATTCAGTGGCTGGAGATGTGGGATCGGGTCTGTTGGAAATGATGAGATTGGCACTGGATAGTGCAGCTTTCAAAGATAATGTACATAGATACGAGTTACAGGTGACTTGATGACACTTAACAACAATGACAACAATAGCAATCTTCCTAACAGTAAGAAAATGGACATCTCTTTCTTAAAACCATCCAATTGTGTTTCTGTCATAACAGCACTAAATAGTAGATACAGTTCACCACCTCTTATCCCAGTCTCCTAGAAAGAAACATGAACAAAATTCCAAGAAAATCCATTTTAGATACATACTTGTGGTTTCCTTAAAAACACCACTGCAGTCAATTTCCATTGTACTATTTCCAGCTTCCAAAATCATTCTCTTGCTTATTTCATTGCACCTCTTGGTTTCAGAGACTGGAAACATAAAAAAAAATGTTCATTTTAATTTGCTCATTTTCATAGCAAATACTAGCTAAAAATGTCTTTTCTTTGGAAGATTGACTATCATAATTTCATCACCTATGAGGAGCTCTAGGGAGCTCTTTTGGCCTAGAGGCAAGAAACTGCACTGCAATCATGAAGGCAGCCATTCAAGGCCACCAGTTGCTCGGTGGGAGAAGGATGGGAAATCTCCGGTACAATTTGTCTCTGAAAACCCACTGGAGGGTCAGCCATGCATTGGTTCTGACTCTACAGTACAATAACAACAACACATGTGCTCCAAAGTCAAGGTTGGCACTCCTTGCCCTAATACTTATCTCTGGCTCCTTGAATCAAAATAACCTAAGCAGCACTGGCCACACAGTGTAGGAAGTGAGGAGATAATTGTGTTTCTCAGAGCTGACACTAAGATAAAAGGGGGAGCTCCAACAGCATCATTGAGATTGTTAACAGCTGTAGTTTGCTTAGCTCCACAGTCAGCACCCTTGGGACCAGCAGCTAGGAAATTAAAAGATGAATTGCATTAGAAAAGTCTGCTGTCAGAGACCTCTCCAAAGTACTGAAGAGCAACAGTGTCAGTATGGAGACCAAGGTGCTCTTGATCCAGGCCATAGTCTTTGCAACTACTTGCTATGCATCAGAGAGCTGGGTAATAGCTAGGGATGATAGGAGAACTGATGTCCTTGAGCTGTGGTGCTGGAGAATAGTATTGAATAGAATATATCATGGACTGCTAAGAGAACAAACAAATTTGTCCTA